CAAATGCCTGGTAAGTAAGCCGTCGTCACATTATATCCAAAGTATTCTTATTATCCATTGCTGCTGAGAGCTAACTAACAGAAACAATGTTGATACATGTAAATTAGCGTTGGCTTTTGCAGAGATGCTGACGAGTACAGAGATGGTTCAGGTGCTGTCGTGTGCCAAGATTCCACCACGACCAAAGGTGCCACCACTTTTCGCAACAGCGACGACTCGCTCGAGCATGAAGGAAATGGTGGCGTCGCTGATCCAAAAGCACGAGGCGATACTGATCAATGTCCTGCAGCAAGAACAGGAGCGCAAGCATAAGGAGCTAATGAGTCTTCGGGACCGATCTCTCCGCATCATGGAGCTCAAGGACCTAGCATTGGGTAAAGAGTCTATGGATGAAGAGGCGGAGGATGCGCAGTCGTCGCCCTCTCTCAGCTCTCTGGGCGAGGGTTCTCCTGAGAGGGACCTCTCGAGTGATGAACACGGACGCAAGCGGAAATCTCAGGTTGATGCAGCGTTCGGTTGGACTCTGGCCAAGAAGCTCAACATCGAGGCATCTCCTCCCCTGTCAGCTCTGGATGTCTTGTCCGTTGTGGATTCCGGTCGAATGTCGTTTATCAAGAACGGATGTCAGCTCTGGGAGCGTTCGAGAGGCGCGCAACTCTTTGGAGACTTGGTCTCGTTTGGTCAGCCAGCAGGACTCCAGATCTGGGCTTGCGATTCTGTGACCTTGACTTCACTCGATCCTACCTCCGGCACATTTCCTTCCTCAAAAGTCTCAAAGGACTCTTCTCTGGCCGTCTTGGCTCTGTCGACAACGGGATTGCATCTCTTCCAGGAGGACTCTGTTGGTCAGGACCGTGTCAACAAGAATCTGGAGAACTGGAGTCTGGTGGAGATTGAGCGGATCAGACTCTTGGAGGAAGATTTGGAAGAGATGACGATCCTTGTCGACATGTGTGGTCTTGTCCCTCGAGGAGGTCGTAACTTGCTGGGAGAGCGGATCGAGATCAAATCGACAGCTGCCAGCAATATTGTCAAGGCCATCTCGGAGGCTCAGACGCGCCTGGATCAGCACCAACGGGTGGCAACACGGCATTGTTGGGCAGAATCGCAGCTAAAGCTCTGGAGCACACTCTTTGGGGTCGAGGCGCGTGAGTTTGATGCTGTTCTGACGGACCATTTGGATTTTGAGAGTGGCGTCTTAACGATGAAGCCGACCGGGGACGACAGGAGGGGTGGTCACAGCGTGCCGATGATTGGTGCCGTCCTTGCTTCGATCTGCTCTTTGGACAACTGCGAGAGCATTGATTTCTCTGGAGTCAAGGCCGACGATGATGGATGGAACAAGCCAGAGTTAATTCGACAGCTGGAGCGCACCGTCCGGACCAAGAAGGATGCTGTCGTTGGCTGGAATTTTAGTCGTTGTGGATGGGCGCCGTCAACAATACATGGATTCGTCAAGGGATTCAACTTTACTAAAGCCACCATGGAGGAGACTTTGACACGTTGCGCCCAAATTGTTCTTGCCGGAAACCATCTGAGTGGCGACGACTCTGCTGGACACGCCTTAGTCGAGTGTATCGGTCGGATAGCGGGGCTCGAGACATTGGACATTACGGACTGTGACATTGGCCTGGTCGGTATGGACAATCTCGTCCATCACATTAAGGGCCTAGTCAACCTGAGGCTCAGAGGTAACAGATGTGACCAACGCTGGTGGACGTGGACGGATACTCTACTCCAGCGCAACCCCAAGCTCAAGTCCTGCCACGTTGGAGCGCCCATCAAGGTCGACAACCCAAGCGCGAGCCTTTTAAGTCTAGAGAGACTGCAGTCGCTGGACCAGCTCGTCGAGCTTGACTTGACAGACTCGCGGATAACCGCTGGCACTCTTGACACTCTGGCCAGGTACCTTCGGGTCGATGCTTCTCACCACCTCAAGACGCTGACTCTGTCTCACTGTGAACTGGACTGGTGCTCGAGTCTAGCGGGGCTGTTCAAGACGATTTGCGACATCAACACGTCGACAAAGTTTACGTTGAACGTTGGTCGCAACCCGCTCTTTGACAAGGAGGAATCCGTCAGAGCTTGGATCGAGTCGGTGGAAGAAGCAAAAGTCAGTGTGCCTTTCGGAATCCAGATGACCGAGTTAGTGGTGGCCGATTGTACCCTTCAGCAGGTCCTGGGACCTCTTGCTGCCGCAACTTGTTTCAACGAACTCAACTTTAAGGGACTCTATGTCAAGCAGGACTCCCGATCTCTTTCTTTCTCCTATGACGAGATGCGTCTTCAGACCGTCCCAGTTGCCGCATCGCCCGAAAGCTGTCTTGCCTTGGGCAGGATTCTGGAATCCAACTCGACACTGGTGATGCTCGACATTTCAGGAACAACAACAGCCTCTGAGGGAGCCTGTCGGTCGGTGGGTGGATTTGGTCGCCATGTCTCGCTGGCGTTCCCTGGCTTGGGTCGAAACTCGACCCTCCTCATCCTTGCACTCGATCATAACCGATTTGGCGAGGAAGGTCTGTCAGAATTTTGCCAGGCTCTTCGATTAAACTCTAAACTGGGTGTTTTGACCTGTGACGGAAACGACATTTTCACTCCACAAGGATTATGCAGCATCGAGAGGATATTTTCACCCGGATCGCCCCTGTCCCTCTTGCCGTCACCTACTTCAGGAGGAGAAGGATACCAGTCGGCAGAGATGATGGATGTGGACACCTCTATCGCGAACACTGGCGAGCAACAGTACAATCGGACTCTCTGTGTCTGGACGCATGGTCAGGACGAAATTTTGATGCATGTTCAATTGTTGACACAGGATGTCGTACGATTTGAGGAGGAGAGGGAAAGGTTGGAAAAGCGACTGGCTCGCAGCCGTGATCTGACGCACGAGAGCGATGTCAAGGTGCTGAGTAAGGCGTTTGAGGAGCTGAAGAGACGAGTTGCAGTGGCCAAACGGGCACGGTTTGAGTACACGGAGACTCATGCGCGCATCGTCAAGGCCATCTCTGACAACAACGAGCGTGGCAAGCGCGCTCTCTAACCTATCGGTACTTGTAATAAACTCATAGACAATACTAAGCGTTTTCCTGTATATATTGCTGAATTCTACTCTTCTCGATTCTATTTTCATTCAAATGGGAAACTATGGAGCATTATCGCCCTGTAACTAAGAAGAAGGTACCATGGAGGTCATAAGATGGGGTCCGATCTTGGACAACCGGTTCATTTTACCGCAGGATCAACACACCCAGGTCAATGGTGCCTATTGATTCTGTGCTACGAGTCTCAATATTCGATGTGTCTTTGTCTAACTGATCTAATGCCCATTTACTTTTCTCAAGCTCTTTCTCTTTGCCTTCTTCCTCAATCCGCGTTGTGTTACCTTCGAGACGCGAGTCTTTGTTGAGATGGACAACAGTAGGGAACGGGATCTAAGACGGTGAGCCGTGAAAGGACACTAGTTATCGTGTCGCCTCTTTACACCTTATCCTGTCACTGGTGCATGAGCAATGTGAAAACTGCCGCTTTTGAGAAAGAAGAAAATGAAGAAGATAAAGAGTGAGGCGAAAAGTCAATTGACCTTCCTCCCGATCGCAAACATGACTATTGTTTGCTGATTAGGCAGCCTGACATATCCCTTCCTCCTTTTTTCCTTCGTCTCTCCCTCTTTTTCAATCCCTCTCGTTCTTTCAACAGCCTCTGAGCCTCTCACCACAACTCATGCCCAAACATTCAGGTTGACAACCTTACACGTTCCTTTTATTTTGTTCTCAGCAGAAAAAAAATGTTCCTCCAACTGACAGAGTGTGTCCTCTCGAACAAAAGCCGCGATCCCCTTGTGGGCAAACAATTCGCAAACGCATGTATACCAGAGGTTCTTCCCAACCCTCTCCTTGGCTCTTTTTTCTTTCACTCTCAACGCTCACCCCACAGACGATCCCTAACCCTTTCTTTGCTCACTCCCTGTACTTCTCTTTCTTCTCACATCAACTCTTATATAGTGCCTTTGTCCACCCTCCTCTGACTCTGCTCCACACCCCTCCCTTTACAGCTATACCAACCGCAGCCTCATATGTTCATAGCGCCTCTCGCGCCGATCCATCAAAAAATAAGAATGTTCACTTTCAACCACAACTAACAATCATAACCGAAACGACGTGCTACCCTTCCTTCCCTTGTCCCTCTTCCTTGGCCTTGATCTACTTCCCTGACCTTAATCCACTCTCCATGGTCACCTCAACCCCCCATCTTTATCCCCTCCGTATCAATCCACACCTCTGCTGTTTTGTTGTGCTTCTCACCTCGTTTGACGTGAATCCACTTGGATTCTTCATGAACACCACCATTAATCAGTTGATAAGTACTGATCAATATTTATATGTTTGCCTAACTTCCTAGCCGTTGATCAGTTGATATGAAACGATCAAACTTAACTGCTGTCCATCGTCTCTTTTGATCTTTGAATACTGCCAACGACAGTGATCAATTGCTGACGAGACCGTCATTATCAACTGCCCTGTGAAAAAACAATATATGGGAGTGAGGCACGAGGAAAAAAAATAAATAAATCAAATTCACTCCTTATCCCATGTTACTTTTTTCCTCTTTCTTCCACTGACTTCCTCTCTGCACCCCTCGGCACTCTCCTATTTCTCACATTCCTCTCCCTCTGCCTCCTTCTCCTCCTCCTCCTCCTCCTGTGATCAATTGACACGAAAATAACCCTTTACTTGCCCAAAACAAAAAGAAAAAAAAATAATCCATTAGCCCTCACTCCCTTCTCACTCCTAGCCTCCAATTGACGACCCCGTCCCACCTCGCCACCACGCTCCAGGGCGTGGGTAATAGCACCAACGCTCCTCCATCGAGGTTCCATGACTCTCTGGCCACATACCGGACTTTTAATAGGCCAAAAATGTAGAATTCTTGCCAAGATGTTCCCAGTCTTGCAGGAACCATGGTGGGTAGTGTTAAAAAAAGAAATGGCAAAAGAAAGTGGGCTCAACCGGGAATTGAACCCGGGACCTCTCGCACCCAAAGCGAGAATCATACGACTAGACTATTGAGCCGACTGGTTGTTGTAAGGTTTTTCGAATGACACAATATGAATGCATAGGCTGTCATTTCGATATACACCATTTCGACTAGTCACGTGGTGCGCCACCAAAATGCCTCGCGGCCAAGGAGGTCGTGTAGGCTTGAAAAAAGAACCCCCCCCCCACCCCCCACAGCGATACGGGCTTGTCCTTGCTTGCTCATTGCTACTTGAGTTGTTCCCAGGTTATTAGAGGGTGGTGGAAAGATTTTGTTGCGAATAGAGAGAGAGAGAGAGAGAGAGAGAGAGAGAGAGAGAGAGAGAGAGAGAGAGAGAGAGAGAGAGAGAGAGCGAGAGAAGTGAGAATTGCAATGAGAAAATTGAGTTATATGTGTCCTTTGTTTTGTCTTTGGCCGTTCTCTTTGTTGTTATCGAGGGAAACAAGGTCATGTACCACTGCTTGCACGCTGACGCCTACAATAAAGAGCATACGAAGATATGAGGAGAAGAGAACAAGAGGGAGAAAGTATAGAGAGTTGGAGTGAGAAATGAGAAGGAAAAGGTTTGTGCCTGTCTTTGTATACACGGAGGAATGAATGCAATGAAGGGGACAATGTGTACCTTGATTTGATACTGTTAAAGGTCATTGGCATGCGTATCCCTCTTTCTTTCTTTCTCCCAGATTTATTTCTACCTGGCCGTCCCTTCGTTTTTGATGGCTGATATCCATGTTGTATGTGTGAGAGAGGGGCAGAAGGGGAAAAAGAAGTGAGCTAAGGAACGAATGCACCAGGGAATAAACGAGCACTTTTTGATGTTTGGGTTGCTACCTTTACTTCTTTGTCCTGGAGGCTGTGGTAGTTATGCGTATAGTGTATTATTTTCTCGGTGTATTTACGAACTCTAACGCGTGGCGCTGGTGAAAATGCGCGCGAGAAAGGAGGTAGAGGTGAAGGAAAGAGAAGAAGGAGTGGGCAAGAAAAGAAAGGGAGCAGGGAGCTGATTCCGAATCACTGGCGCCTAAATTTGGACCTTTTCGTTTCCTTCATAGACGCGTTAAACGGTATCCACAAGTGCCTACATCGACCTTTGGCAAGGATATGTATTGAAAAAGCAGATGCGCACTGATCAGGCGTTAACTTTTGACTAAAAGAGTTGGTGGCATGCGGACAACGAAGAAAACTACATGTTAAGTTGAGATAGGGAAAAAAAAAGGTGTGAAAAAAAATGAAGGAAAAGATAAAGAGCTGCAAAGTGTAAAAAAAATGGGAAAAGAAATTATTCTGGCCATACAGGAGAAGTACATTTGTTTTGTCTGGAGATGAATAATTTCCAATGGAAGGATGGGAATGTAGAGAGTATTCACTCATATCAGATTCAAGATCTCCTCCAGCGTCCACTTGGCCTGCTTGGAGTCCGACTTCCTATCCCTGACAGAGTTCGGATCCACGACCCCTTGGGTGTTGAATTCGCTGTAGATTAACCTGTCCGGAGAATACTCATCCATATGAGTGAACTCGGTTACGAATAGTATGATCGTCTTCAAGCTTGGCATCCCGCGGAGCTGAGCAAGAAGTCGCTGACCTTCTGGTCCCGAGACTCCCTTGTCGTCCCAACTATCACAGTAACATATCAACCCAAGACGAAAAGACAGAGTCTTAACCGCCGAGCAATAGCTGGGAAGCGGTAACATAATCGAGTCGACAGTCAGTTTCTTGACCTTCCAAGGCGCAATGGTAGGGTATACCTCTCCCTCTGAGTGCTTCATGGTGTACCAATCGCCGCAATGAGACAGCTCTTTGACCCTTGACAACAACGGGTACAGATTCTCGATCGATAAGTAGGACATGAAGCTGCCGTCGAACTCCAGCACCGAAGATTAGGCATTGGATCAGCCATCGCCAGGAAGGTATCATCCTCCATGTCCTCCATATTGATCATATACAAGCCCAGCCGAGTCAGATTAGGGGTGAGGCGGAGAACTTCTGGAAGTTTAGGGAGGGGCAATCAGGGCTCGTTCCCCCAAGGATAAGGCAGTCTGTTCGTCCAACTAAAAGATCGCGGTTGGAGAAGACGAGAGGCAATATTTTAGGCATTCTAGCATTCGGCTTTGAAGCGAAAATGCATGGAGAGTCTTGTTCGTGACTGGATGGGAAAACCTGAGTCGTACAACTGCTTTTGAGTGATAGTGGTCCAAACGTAGGGAGCAAGGGCTTGGTGCCACTGTTGGCAGAATCGGAGTGACTCCAGCAGAGTGGGGTGGTCGAAAAACTGACCGAAGGCGATAATGATCCCGTGGTAATAAATAGGCAGCTGGTTTTGTAGAGTAGAAAGGAAATGTGTGTGTAAAAGAAAGGTGGATTTTTATGAGCGAGAAATCGAATGAAGAAGAGCGAAGAGTTGGCGCAGGTGATATGGTGGTTCGGAACGACCATCGATATCAGCGTGTGGACTGATCGGTGTCCTTGTGAGCATGATGGTATACACTGTTTCGAGGCTTGCCCTAATAAAAAAAAAGCGGCGATGCAATACAATTTTTGGTAGTTCATTCATACACAACTTCCACGGTCCACAAACTCATACGTCGCAGAGCAAGTAAAGGAGAACAATACTGGCTTTTGTTGCCATTTTTTCATGAAAGAAGGGCGAAAGGACAAATAGTGAACGAAAGGAGGCACAAAGCTACTAAACGAAAAAAAGGGCAAAAAAAAGAAAAGAAGCCCTGGCCAGCAACTCTCCTGGCGAACACCACTGACACCCCCCCCCCAACTCCTCAACGACGAGATTTAGTCATACACAGTTCAGACGCGATATGAAATAGAGAGACACCTTTCTGTTCAACTGGCTATTACAAATCCTCTCTTCTATTTTTCGCGCGAAAAAGATAGAGAGACCAACCCCTTCGTTTATTTTTATTTTGGATAGCTCTTTGAACAATTCGAACATGAGGGAGTAAGTACGCGAACAGCGAAGCATAACAGCAAATGAAGGAGGGGATAGTGAGTTGGTGATATGATATTAGACAAAAAATAAAAGAGGAGGAGGATGAAGTTCGTCTCATTTTAGTGGCACTTTTTTTTTTTTTTTTTTTTTTTTTTTTTTTTTTTTTTTTTCGGATGCCAGGGGAGGGGGGGGGAGTTGGTAAGATATCATGGAGTAATTGTATCCGTTACTGAGTTTAGTTCGAGTTACCCTGTTTCTATCGTGTGGAAAAGGACAGAGACAGCATCTTTACTCTTTCCCTTTTGACAGACGCGACTGATACCAGAAGGACACCACGCATTGAACAACGAGGAGCGCACTATCAATACAGTGTACAACTTTTCCGTGTTGGCTACATCCTGGTCGAGCACAAAATAAATATTTATTGATTTGAGCGTTGACATCGGAGGTGGTGTGTTTTGTATGGTACAGAAGGTGTCCCTCGACTTCTCACTAGTAGCTTATTAAGTGCCTTGCATGAGAAATGGGACAAAAGAGGAGATATTGTTGTTGATATAATGGCATTATCATAAGGTGGAAAATGGGAGAACAAGAGAGAGCGTTATCGGTATCAATGTAGCAAAGTTGAGCAAGAATGAAAGGTATGGATGTGTGTGTGTGTGTGTGTGGGTTTTGTGGAGTGAGGGTGTTGAGGGTGTGTAAGAAAATACATAGTACATGCGGAGATAAATAATAATATGACACGAGAAATGGAAAGAAAGTAACAAAGAACAAAAGAAATCGCGTTTCTCTTTTGGAGAGAGGAGTGAACTCTTCGAAATATCTCCAATGGACGCAGATTTAAAGCAAGCGGCGGCGGTTGTTTGGTGGCAGGGGGTCATAGAGTTGAGGATTCACTGCAAAGAGAAAAGAAAAAAAAAATGACGATTAGAAAAGGGAACGATGGCATCGAAGAATGCCCAGAATAAACAGCAACGCCAACGCCAACAAAAACAAAAGAGGACCAAGAGACTTACTCTGGAGGTAGTACATGGCATGTTCGTGGATGTCGACGTCACTCCGCTCTGAGGGCACGTAGACGGGCTCAGGCTCAGGCTCATGGATCTGCTGCTCAACTCCCAGCGTGTTGACAAGAGCGCCCATTCCGTAGAGGGTTGATTGGGGCTGAAGCGTCTTGAAAGTTCGACCGGCACCGTTGACAGGTCCGTTCGAGCCGGGTGCAGCTCCTGAAGGCGTATAAGGTGGTGGAGGTGGAGGAGCAGCGCCATGGCCGTTACCACCAGTACGGGCTCCTGCATTGGCTGGAGTAGAAGATGGCTTGGCACCATAGTAGAGGTCCTTGCCAGAGTTGGCAGGAATCAGAGGCACCAGTGGCGTCACAGCGGGAGCAAGGGGGCGAGGTGCAATCCAACGTGGGGCTGAGGCTGCGGATGGGGCTGCGGCATCTGTCAGACGGGTTGGCTTCTTAGGAACTGGAGGTTTGAGGCTCTGGCTGACGGCTGAGGAGCTCGAGCTGCCTGTTGACTGAGGAAGAATACGCTTGGGAGGCTTGGGTGGTGGCACGACCGACTTTTTCTTGTTGTCTGCTCCCTGAGTGAATGAGGGAGAGGGCATCGACGAACCCTGGCCCTGATTGCCCGAGTTGGAACCAAACACGCGGTTATCCATATTTCCCATACCCAATAGATCTCCGACGGGGGCCAAGATCGGCTGCACGAATGAGGACTGGCTGTTGTAGAGTCCGCCCTGGTGGTTGGAATCAAACATGTTCATCGAATTGGCTTCCGTCGTCGAGCTGTAAAAGGGCAAACCGTTGGTGGCGTAAAGGCCTGCGTTGGATGTCGAAGAACCTTGAGTCGCGGTGACAGACGAGATACTGGGTAGGTCAAAGCCGATCGAAAAGGTGTTTGACTCCGTAGTAGAGCTGCCCATAAAGTGGTTGGTAGTAGTAGCAGTAGCAGCGGCGGCAGCAGTAGTGGTTGAGGTGGCTACAGTCGAAGCACCTTGGGGCTGACGGAACACGCGGCTGGCCGACTCGAAAGTTGGGTAGGCATGAGCTTGAAGAGGCGAAAACATGTCCGCATCCTCATT